GGCGGGCGCCGCGGGGCCCTGCCAGCGCCTCCCAATGGCTAGGAGGTCGCTCGAGGGGTGGAGCCAAGAGGGATGGCAGGCGACCATTGGAGAAGGCGGCCGTCCGTCGGGGCTCGAGACGGAAACGACCCGTGGAGACGGGGGGAGGGGAGAAAAGGCGGGATCACGTCACGGAGCTTGAGCCAGTAAGCTAGCTGCGCTCCTGCGTGGGGCTTTGCGGGAGAAGCCATCTTGAGAGTGGGTACGTGGCGAGTCCGGCCGCGGGAAGCGTGCTTTCTACCAGGCTGCCGCCATCTTGCAAACGGGCAGCGGCCGTCCCTGGGCCTGAGGGTAGAGGGAGCTGTGTCGCCATCTTTGGGTCGGGCAGAGAACCTACGGGGCTCCATCTTGCTTTTGGGCACGTGGCCGAAAAGCCTGATTCAAAAGGAGACCTCATTTTTAGGTTAGCACGCGGGGAACTAGAGGCCGCTTAACGCGTCCCAGACTAGCTAGGACTCCGTGTCCACTGCTGACCTCCGAGCGTGCGGGCGTCCTTTGTTCACCCCCAGAGCAGCCAAGCCCGACCGCAGCCCTGTGCCCCGGCTGCAGGGATGGGGAAACTGAGGTCCGTGGAGCAAGGCGGCCCCTGCCCACCGGGGAACTGAGCCCCGGACGCACACAGCACAGTCTCGCTGTCATGGGGCATGTCATGGGGCATCCAGGCAGGGACGCATCTCCATCTCAGCAGCCAAAGAACATCCTAAACATTTTTCTGAGAGATGATGGCAAGAGTTGTACATGGTTGTGCGTGACAGGGGTAACCCTTAGGTCAGCGGGGTGGGGGGCGCACGGGACCAGTGAGGGAAGCACTCAGGAGACCCTGCGCATGGTGGGCTTGGCGCAGTACTCGCCGCTGAGTTGATGCTCAGTAGGTGAAGGACACCGGTGTGACTGCTATCTGTGCATGCTGAGAAAGGGGCCTTCGCAGCGGCGGGTGACGAGAGAGAGAGAGAGAGAGAGAGAGAGAGAGAGAATGAGAATGACATTCGTTGGGTCTGGCCAGCAAGCAGCAGTGCTGGGAGTCGGGGGACAGCGCCAGCTCCAGGGCAGCAGCCCACCCGGCGCCAGTGCCAGAGAGCTGCCGCGCATTTCCACGGGGGCCTCCGTCCTCCCGCACGCAAGGCCATCTGTAGCCCCAGAATCGCTAATCAGGAATGTCCCGGTGGATTTAGGAGAATCTCTGACACATTCCCGTGGATTTGCTCGTCCGGAACTGCCATTTGAGCTGTGCTCTGGGTACCGCAGAGCTAGCTGCTCATCTTCCTTCTCTCGGGAGGGGTGCCAAGGGTGGCCCCTCCTTGACAGCAGTGGGGAGGGAGGGAGACGCCGGAGTGTCACAGCCCAGGGGGAGAAGAGGGCAGCTGACGCTGCTGGAGTGTCTACACTGTCAGAATTGTGTTAAAACCCACTTCCAATCACAGCCCTCCCAGGGGTCCTGCCTTGCTCAGGGTGAAAGCCCCAGCCCAGTCCAGCGGGCCCCACACGGCCGGCCACCTGTCTGGTTCTGGCCTAATTTACACAGGCCTCCAGTATTTGGCTCGTCCCTTCAGGAGACTCCTCCCCAAATGACACTACTCTCTCCTTCACACCCCTGCCCCAGGGCCTTTGCCAAGGCCCCTCATTAGAACAGCTTCCCCAGTGTCTTCTGGGAAGGTTGAGGGTAACATCCCTCATTTCCACAGTGCACTGGAGCTCCTCGAAGTAAATTAGAATTCATATTAGGTAGAAAATCCAGTGTTAGATAGAAAACACTGGCAAGGTGGCCAAGAGGCCACCGAGGGAGGTGTCCGTGGCTGAGATGAGGCCCCCAGTGTCTCAGGCCAGCCCCTGAGTCCTATTGATTGCTGGAAGGGGAGAGGGCACGCGTGAAAGGGATGGGGGCAGGGGCTCCGATGAGAACCCACACTGATCACCACACTTGGGCAATCCACAAGCGGGGAGGCCTACAACACACGTGCATTCCCGACTCCAGAGGCCCCAGCGTGTATGAATGAGATGTTTCGTGACTGGGCCAGGGCCTCAGGGGAGGCTCTGGGGGTGCCCCAGCTCGTGTGTACGTAGGAGCAGGTCGGTCTCCTTTTTCTTTTACATTTGCTGCCCTTTATCCCGTCCCAGCCTTGCCTGCCAGCTGCTTCCTCATTAATGATTTAGGGTGAGAGTGGGTGTGTGATCACCTTGTATCTGTTTGAGAGTTTTGAAAACATGATCTTCTCAGTGGCAGGAGCAAGGGAGGGAGAAGCCAGACGGGTGGAGGGGACTGGCCTCCCAGACCCCTGGGAGGGGGCCTGCTGGGGCCCCCTTCCTC